TTTTTCTTCCGGGAAAACCGTTCTAGCAGCCACGGATCTGCCAGCCCTCGCCCAGCTTCCAATTCTTGTAGACTGGCCTCCACTGTACCATGTCTCCGCACCATGGTCGCGCACACGATGTTTTACAGGTCTGCTCGTGGCCCCCTCGCCTGCGGTCCCCCCCCCGGCCGCCTCCCGCCTCGCGCTCCCTCTGCAGCTCGTGCCTCGTTGCCCCCGGCACGCCCCGCCGTCGCTCGACCGCCCCCTGTCCGCTTGGCTGAAGTCGGGCACGTCCCTCTACAGGAGGGATATTCCAGTAAGGGGACGATTTTCCTATTAGTTACTTTGCATCATTTCCGGATCTTTTTTTTTTTTTTGTTTTTTTTTTTTTTTTTTTTTTTTTTTTTTTTTTTTTTTTTTTTTTCTCAAAATCCGCTTGTACTCAAAATCCGCTAGCAGGGGAACATGCCCGACCTAACGCTTGGCCACCGCTGAATAAGCATGCATGCATGACTTTGCGTTCTCGGCCACGCTTGCCTTTTCTGCTTGCGCTTCCACTCATGTTGCGCTGTCTGACGTTGCGTCCTTGTGTGCTGTTATGCTCATCGAAGACGCCCACGGCAAATCACCTCCGCCCCCTGCCTTTCAGGATATACCGATGCGGCCAAACGTTTGTGCACAGTTTGAGCAGGCTATCGGACCATGCGCTCCCCAAGCCGAGTGGAATCCCTTCGGGGAACCCGTTGGGAAGGAAGAGGATCATGAGGAGAGGAAGGAAAAAACGAGGCTGAGGAGAAGAATGAGGAGACCTCTTGGGAGCTTCTTGGGTCATTCTCGGGGTCTCCTGGGAGTTTCCTGAGGGTTTCTGTGGGGGCATCCCGAGAGCCTCCTTGGGCCTCTTTGGGGGCCTTTTGGGGCTTCTTGGGGGCCTCTTTGGCCGCCTTACAGTGCTGCTGGTCCGTATGACGCCGTCGGAAGCTGTCTTGGGAGCCTCTTTGAGCCATCTTGGGGCCCTCTTGGGGCGCTTCAGGGTGCCGTATTCGGCGTCTTGGAGGCCTCTCAGGCCGTCTTCGGGCCCTTTGGGGGCCGTATTGGGAGCTCCTTGTTCTTGGATGCAGTGTCGAGGACTCTTGGGGGCCGTTTAGCGGCCCTTTAGGACGTCTTGGGGGCCTTTGTGGATCTCTTGGGGACCTTGTGTATTATTCTGCTTGCGTGTTTCTGCTGGCGGCCTGGCGCACTGCCGGTGCAGGCAGGGGGGCCTCCCCTTCGCCTCCACGGGCCGCCCTGCCTCGCCTCGCCTCTTCCTCGTGCGCCTCGGCCAGAAACCGCCCCGCCCATCGAGGCGGCCCCTCCCCACCCTCCTTGGTGGAGGGGGTGAACGGCTGGGGGGAGGGGACCCTCATGGTCACCTCCGCGGGTTCTGGCTCCTCCCTCCCCTGTCTGTCCCTCGTCCTCAGCACGCTGTGCTTATCAAAGAGTCAACAAAAAGAGTCCTGCCGTTCCCTCCCTGACTCCCCCCCCCCTCTCCTGCCTCCTCCCTCTCGTTCGCCTCTCGGTCTCCATGTGTCTTGGGCGCCCCTGGAAGCCTCTGAATGCTTCGGGATGCCTCTGGAGTCTGTAGGTCCCCAAGCGGGCAAGAAGACGCCCCAAGCAACCTTGATCCTCTCCTCCCTTCCTCCTCTCCTCCCCCCGTCCTCCCCTGCTTCCTCTGCCGAGTTTCCGTGTGTCTGTGTTTAAGTGTGTGTGTGTGTGTGTGCGTGCGAGTGATTACCACTTTTTTGTAACGTTCTGACCTGAGTGTTTTTTATATAAAACGGCAGGGCCGTTTTTACAGTTTTCGGTTGGCATTTGTTTTGGTTCCGGCGCCGCTGGCTGTTTGGTTCCAGGTCCGGCTTCAATCCATGATCAGGTTTTCATCATACGTAACACCGCTCAGTTGCGGATAAGAGTGAGGGGGCTGCGAGAACGTCCTCAGTTTGCGAGGCTCTGGAGAAGCCCGCCGCAGGTGCCTAACTTTTACAAGTTATGCATTGAGCCCGCCGCAGGCGCCGATTTTTTCGTTAAAGCATTGTGGGTGGGTCGCGGGCTGGGTCGCGGGCGGGTCGCGGGCCGGGTCGCGGGCCGGGTCGCGGGCCGGGTCGCGGGTGGGTCGCGCGGGTGGGTCGCGCATGGGTCGCGGGGTGGGTCGCGGGTGGGTCGCGGGTGGGTCGCGGGGTGGGTCGCGGGGTGGGTCGCGGGGTGGGTCGCGGGGTGGGTCGCGGGGTGGGTCGCGGGGTGGGTCACGGGGTGGGTCGCGGGTGGGTCGCGGGCGGGTCACGGGGTGGGTCGCAGGTGGGTCGCGGGTGGGTCGCGGGGCGGGTGGCGGGGTGGGTCGCGGGGTGGGTCGTGGGTTGGGTCGCGGGGTGGTTCGTGGGTGGGTCGCTGGGTGGGTCGCAGGGGGGACGACGACAACAAAAAGAACAACGCAACAAGCAGAATCCTCACCACGGATCCCCACTAGAGCCACGCACCCAGGGACAATGAATGACCGTTCGGCCCCCTCACTCTGACCTACAGGTGTGATCTCGCCTGCATTATTTCGACCGGCCGACCGTGCCTGGGATGTGTGCTGGATTGGGATGTGTGCAGGGCTGTGTGCTTTGACGTGTGCTGGGACGTGTGCTGCCTTCGTGTCCTGGGATGTGTGCAGGGCTGTGTGTTGCCTTCGTGTGCTGGGATACGTGCTGTCCGTGCCCTCCCGTCCCCCTGCCCCCCCCAGCACCCCTCCGCCGCGTGGCCCCCGTCTGCTTATTCCGACCGACCGACCGTGCCACCCCCTCTGCCTGACCGAACCCTCCAGTCCCCCTGCCCCCGCGCTCCTCCGCCCCGTGGCCCCCGTCTGCTTATTCCGACCAGCCGACCGTGCCCCCCCGCCCTCTGCCGGTCGGTGCCCTCCCGTCTCCTTGCTCCCCCCCCCGCACCTCTCCGCCCCGTGGCCCCCGTTTGCTCATTCCAACCGACCGACCGTGCCCCCCTTTCTGCCCGGCCGTGCCTTCCCCCTGCTCCCCTCCCCCGCACCCATCCACCCCGTGGCCCCCGTCTGCCTGTTCTGACCGACCGTGCCCTTCCCTGCCTGACCGTGCCTTCCCGTCCCACTGCTCCCCTTCCCCCCCGCACCCCTCCACCCCGTGGCCGTGCCCCCGCCCTCTGCCCGACCGTGCCCTCCCATTCCCCTGCCCCCCCCCCCCCCACACCCTTCCGCCTCGTGGCTCCCGTCTGCTTTTCCCGACCGACCGACCGTGCCCCCCGCCCTCTGCCCGACCCGCCCTCCCGTCCCCCCCCCCTCCGCCAAGTGGCCTCCCGTCTGCTTATTCCGACCAGCCGACCGTGCCCCCGCCCTCTGCCCGACCGTGCCCTCCCGTCCCCCCCCCCCCCCCCCCTGGCACCCCTCCGCCGCGTGGCCCCCGTCTGCTCATCCCGACCAGCCGACCGTGCACCCCCCGTCCCTCTGCCCGACCGTGCCCTCCCGTCCCCCCCCCCCCCCTCCCCGCACCCCTCCGCCCCGTGCGTGCCCCCCCCCCCCCCCCTCCCTCTGCTCCTTCCGACCGACCGACCGTGCACCCCCCCCCCCCCCGCCGTGCACTCCCGTCCCCCTGCCCCCCCCCGCACCCCCGCCCCGTGGCCCCCCTCTGCTCCTCCCGACCAGCCGACCGTGCCCCCGCCCTCTGCCCGACCGCGCCCTCCCGTCCCCCTGCTCCCCTTTCCCCCGGTGGCCTCCTCCCGTCTGCAAGCTCCGACCGTCCGACCGTGCCTCCCCCCCCATCTGCGCCCGACCGTGCCTCCCCCATCCGCCCGACTCGGGGGTGGACAGAACCCCCAACAGTGACACGTCGATTAGTGAATTGTCCGTTTTCGGTTCTCGAGGGAGCGCCGCGGCCGTTATTTTCCAGGTTTGCGCCCGCCAGGTTTGGGCCTCAGGTCGTTTTCACTAAACCACGTTTTACTAAAGGGAGGTCTGTCCACCCCCGACCGACCGTGCCTCCCCCGTCTGCAACTTCCGACCGACCTCAGCCCCGTGGCCCCTCATTTGCGCCCGAAATCGTGTGATCCCTGGCGCGCGTGTCTCTTCTTGTTCGTTTCGGCTGGTCGCGCTGTACCGCTTCCGTCCTCAGGATTGACATTTCTGTGGGACGATGGAATGAAAGCGGCCCTGCCGCTTCCAAGAACTACCCATCGGACATGTGCGCTGTTTTTGGCGAGGCCAGCGCTACAAAATCTGTACCACATTGGAGCATCATATCGGGCGGGGTGAGGACGAGGATAAAATCGTTCCAGAGCTTTCCAGAACGCTCTCAGAGCGTTCCGGAATGCTCTGAGAAGGCCGCGGCGTCCAAGACATCTTCCAGAGCCGCCGGATCTCAGAGATTCTCGATTTATCTTCACCCGATGTTATCCTCGTCCTGGCTCCGTCCTAATCTCAGACCACCTTTTAGGAAACACGCACGAAAAACCAGACAATGCACGGGGCAATGGGCACGTCCGAGCGATGGCGAGGTTCGCTCTCCAGCGCGCGCAGCGGGTGCCGCCGCCGCGACCAGGAGGGCAACGCGGCGGCGATGGAGCCTCTCTGGGCTTGCCCCCCCCGCCCCACTGTGCCCGCGCCGCCCACCGCCGCGGTGGTCTCCGTCTTCTCGGGCCGAACGAACGGGGGGGATAGGGAAAGGGGGGGTTACGAAATCTGCTGCATGCAGCTGGTTTCGGCCCCACCGAGGGGCCCATTCCTCGATACATGGCCGCCTCCGGCGCCAGGAGGCGCCAGGAAAATCAGCTACGTGAGCTGATTCTCAAACCCCCCCTTTGCTATCCCCCCCTTTCGCCCGACCCGCTCCGCTGTGCCCGCGCCGCCCACCGCCGCGGTGGTCTCCGTCTTCCTCCCTTCGAGAAGCCGCTCCGGGCTCCCGGCGTGCAGTGTCGAGGATGCATCTCTCCTGGGAGGTTGAATTCTGCATCGGCGGCTCAGTTTGGCCAATCCAGGTCGATGGTCGGCTCAATTGGGGCTACTCCGGAATAGTTCGGCTCAATCCCGCTGAATCTTGCTCAGTTTCGGGCCGAATCTGGCCTAGTTTGGTGAAGTGGCACCTTCATCGGGTTGAAATGCGCTGAACCGTTCTCGCGAAAACCTCCCAGGAGTGGCCTCCGAACACTGGGCCCTCTCCCCTTTCTGCGGGCCGCGGCGCCCATCCTGCAGTCCTGGAGGACGGGAGTGGGCCACGAGCGGCGACACATGCCTATCCGCGCCCTCGCGGTCTGGATCCTGGGGCGCGATCCCGCGGATGCGCTGTCGCATGGGCACGTCACGCGCCGGGCATCCGCGAGAGGGCGCCCCGTATGCCCGTATGCGCGGGGTCGCGGCCCAGGGGCTCAGCCCGCGAGGCCGAGGATACGGATTTATTTTTCGCCCACCGGCGGGGGCGGCAAAGGAATTGCAACGAAGACCAGCAACAGCTCTTGTCGGTTTGATGATGCTCGTGCCGTGGACGTTTTCCGTTTGGGACAGACATCGCCTGTCCAGCAAGACCCGTTGTCGGTTTGGGGCAACCTTCACTGCTGGACATCGCCGCCCCCACTTTCGTTCGGTCGCGCCAGCTCAGGATACGGCCGTTTCTTGACTTTAGGCCCTTATCTCGAGCCGAGCGCTGATACAAACATCGAACTCCTGAGGGCGGTCGGCGCTGGGCCCCCAGCATCCCTGGCGGCGCCTGTGGCGCGCCGTAGAAGGGGTGCGGGGAGGGTTTCCCAGCCCCGACCCCAGAAAGCCGCGCGCACCTGCAAAATTCTATGCCCATTCCCCGCGTACGGCTGGTTGGCTAAAGCGCGTGCGGTTTTTCTTGGACACCCCAGGCGGTGCCCGGGACACGCCAAGCAGCCCTTTGGCGGGGCCAGGGCCGACATCCAGGTGCCCTTGGCTGTCTCGGGAGGGCGGCTTTGGTGCTACACGCGAGGCGCTGGATTTGGGAACGGCGCCCGAGCCACGCAGGCGTGCCCAGTCATCACTTACCAAACCACCCCAACCCAACCCGAAGGCCTCGATTTGCCCTCCATTTCCAGTGGCGGGGGGTCGGGGAACATTGAGAAAACACATCTGTAATCCGCACAGTGCCGTTTTTAATACATGCTCCGCGTGCGGATCATGTATGAAAACATGCAGGGATTTAGTATTAAAAACAACGATGAGTTCATGCATACAATTCACTCGTAAATTAATCATGTATTAAACATCCTCTATTGTTAAAAATCCTATGCATTAAAAACTGCCCGGTACCCCGCCAAACCCGAGATTCGGGTCTTCGGGTTGGGTTGGGGTGGTTTTTGGTAGGCAGTCACCCAGGGAGTGCAGACCTGTTCTTCTGGAGAGAGCGGGTAGGTTCCAGGGGCCTGCGCCGGCCGGGGCGTTCCGCGAGCTCCGCGTCTTGTGTTGGTTGCTCGGCCTTGGGGCCTTGGGGCCTTGTTTGGCTGCTCGGCCTCGTTGGCCCCGAAGGCGGTGTTCGCATGCGTCTCCCCCACCCAGTACAGCGCTTCGTGGCCACATAGGGAGTTCCACCGAAAACCTGAGTGGCGGTGTTCGCATGCGTCCCCCCCCGCCCAGTGCAACGTTTCGCGGTCCCAAAAGGAGCTCCACCGAAGGCTGCAACGAGAGGATGCGTCCTCACTGTTTGTGCAGAGGTTGTCCGCGGGCTGCTCGCTTCGGGGAAGAGAGAACGCCATAAACATAGCATTGTGGCGCTCCGCGCGGGTTTCTCGGATCTGCGCTGGGGACCCCAGAGCGGCGCCTCTGGCGCCGCCCCTGGCGCACTGCGCTGGCGCGGATCTGAGAAATCCGCGCGGACTGTCGAAGATTTATGTTTATAATTTGTTCTTCTTCTAGAAGAGGCTGTCCTCAGGGTGCTTCGTCTTGTTCCTTACTGTTATTGAAGCGGCCTTCCTCGGGTTGCTTTATCTTGTTTGCTTGCTGCATTCGTCGGGTGTCTTGCTCTTGTTGCGTAGCAGTTCGAAGCAACGCCAAGCAGCGTCAAGCAACGCCAAGCAATATCAATGGGAAGCAACGTCAAGCAACCACAAGCAATGCCAAGCAGCGCCAAGCAATGCCAAGCAACGCCAATCAATGCCAAGCACCAACAAGCAACGCCAGGCAATGCCAAACAACGCGAAACAACACATTTCAAAACAGGCAACGCCAAGCAATGCCGAGCAACGCCAAGCAATGTCACACATTGTCACGCCACCCCAGGCAATGCCACGCAACGCCAAGCAACGTCAGACAACGTCAAGCCTTGCCAAGTAATGCCAAGGAACTCCAAGCAAAGCAACGCAATGCCAATCAACTCCTCTCAGGAAACGTTCCCCTGATTGGGGTCGCGCCAGGTTCATGTAGTTCAGTTGCTCTCTCTTCGTGGTTCCTCTCCATCTCGCAGGCTGCATCTCCTGAAATATCGCATTGCGTTGTGTAGTCATCGGCCCCGACAGCAACTTACTTGGTATTCGTCAGCCTTGCTCCGGCTGACTGTAGTCCGAGTTTCTTAATAATAAGCGTCGGGGGGGCGTCACCCCGCCGACAGCCCCACATCGACCCCCGTCGCGGGCAGCCACCGCGCGCCAAGGGCGCTCCGACCCCCGTCGTGGCGCGAAGACGAGGCGAGGCTGACCCCGTCGGAGGGGTACCCCCCCGCGCGAACTAAGAAACCCAGGGTACATGTATTCCTTGGGGCGCCTCGCCGAAGGTATGGAGCAGCGGCGCCCCTGCATACACGTATGGCTCCCCTCTTGGGCTACTCGCCCCCGTCGTTGCATCGGAGCAGTATTAACTCGGGCCTGTCCCTCTACAGGAGGAATATGCAAACATAGTCAGCAAATACTCCAGGGACGATGTTTCAACCATTTTTGTTTATTTGTTTCACTTACTTGTTCCTATGTTTCGTCCAAAATCCGCCTGTAGGAGGACATGCCCGACCTAATAGTAGTAGGTTGCGCCCCTGGAGGCTGCGCGAGGGCAGCTCAGGCAGCGGGATCCACGCGGAGGATGGGTGCGGCAGCCTCCAGGGCCCCCAGGGCAGCGGAGATCGGTCACGGTCCCGTGTTTCGCGCGGTGGCAGAGTCTGATGCCCGCGTCGTGAGCGGCCAGGGGCCTTCCGCTCGCAATCAAGGCACCAGAAACGGCACGGACGTGAACCGTAGCCATTTCGGGTGCGAGCTGGCCTCGCGCCGTGTTCCGTTCAGCTTTGAGAGCGTCAGTGAGAAATCAGGTGCGATCGACCTTCGTCAACCAAACGCTGCTCAGCACAAGTAACCTTGGCGAACATGATGTGCTCAGTGCATGGAAAGGCTCGGACGGCAAGGAATCTCGAAGACGATGGAGACGGCGGCTACAAGTGCACGAACGGAAACGAGTGTGTCAGAGTTCGGAAAAACGCGCAATTACCAGGAGACGCAACATGCTCCCATTGCGGAGCCCATCAGCTTGCAACAAACACGAGGTGCCACACTTGCGTCGCCCCAAATCCAAGGGGGGGAAACACATGTAGCGGAAATAATCGGAAGGACAGCAAGGAGGAGGGTGATGAAGTCAGGCTGAAAGTGTGCATCCTCATGTGGTACGACGAAGCCATGGAGGAATACGCAGACTTGAACCGTGAGATGAACCGCAGATATTGCGAGCGCCATGGATTGGATCTCGTCGTGTCGAGCAGCAGGGAACGCCCCGAGAGGGGGCCTCACTGGGAGAGGTTCTCGCTCATGCTGAAGCACATCCGGGATTACGACTACATGGTCTGGATCGATGCAGACGCATATTTCTATCCTGGGGCGCGGGATATCCGCTCTCTGATCGACGTGCAGAAGGACTTCACATTCAGCAGAGGTGGGCCCGGCGGGCCGATGCGCATGGTCAACTCTGGCGTGTTCGTGGCGAAGAGCTCCGACTACAGTGTGCAGTTTCTTCTGGAGTGGGCGTTCAACGACGAGCGGTACAACAATCGGACGCTACCCCAGTGGCAAGATCAAGCGGTGCTCTTCGATCTCCTCCGGGAGAATGCGCTCGGCATCCAGGAGCACTGCTCGTTTCGTGCATACGGCACCTTGCAGCACCTCAGGGAGGTTGGGCCACGTGCCCGCTTCGACAGGAATCCGTTGATCTTGCATTTGGCCGGTGCGCCAGCGGGTGCACGAATCAAGGCCTCGGGAAGGTACACCTCTCCGGGGGCCCCGGCGGCTGGTCTGGACGCCACATAGGCGGCTGCTGGCAACAAAAGCGGCACACGTCTACGGTTAAGTCGGGCCTGTCCCCCTACAGGGGGATTTTCGACGAAAAAGAAAAGTATACAAAAAATATTTTAAAAATAATGCAAAAATAGTCTGGGGACTATTTTTGAGTATTTTTTTGCCTTCTTGGGTTGGATTTTTTCAATATTTCTCGTCGAAAATCCCCCTTTAGGGGGACAGGCCCGACTTAAGGATTGTCTGGTCGGCGCTGAACCCCCCCCCTCCCCGCGCCCCTTTCCCAGCGCGCGTGGCGCGCTGGGGGCGGGCACTGGCGGCGCCGCCAGGAGCACGCGGGAGGGGGGCGGCCCGGCGCCGCTTCACAAGACAGCCGCGCGGACCTTCGACAGTCGGCCACGCGCAGAGGGGGTTAGGGTTAAGTCGGGCCTGTCCCCCTACGGGGGGTTTTCGACGAAAAGTTAAGAATACCCCCAAAATAGTAGAAAATAATAAAAAATGGTCTGGGGCCTATTTTTCTAGTATTGTTTGACCTTTTTGGGGGCATTTTAGGGTATTTTTTATTTTTCGTCGAAGATCTCACTGTAGGGAGACACGCCCGACATAAGGTTAGGGGGAGGGGGAAGGCTTCTGAGAAGCACCCCTGCTTCTTAGAAGGCGCGGGCCTCCGCTGCAGAGCTAAGGCGGGCGCCTGCTAAGAAGCGGCCGCCTTCTGAGAAGCCTTCCTCCCTCCCCCTACCCCCTGGTGCGCGCCGCCAAGACAGCGTGTGGCCTGTGCCTACCTGGGGATCTCCTGGAGCCCTCCCGGGCCTGCTCCGCCTCCTGCCCCCCGCGCCAGCTGGTTTCGCGCTGGCTGGTGGGGGGGGGGAAATACACGGCCACGTCCTGCAGAGCCCGTCCCGTCCCTCCGTGGCCCCTCGTGCGCGGGGAGGGAGGAGTATGAGGAAGAGGAGTATGAGGAGGAGGAGGAGGAGGAGGAGGAGGAGGAGGAGGAGAAGGAGGAGGAGGAGGAGGAGGAGAGGAGGAGGAAGGAAGGAGGAGGAGGAGGAAGGAGGAAGAGGAAGGAAGGAGCGAAGAAGGAGGAAGGAGGCAGGAGAAGGAGGAGGAAGGAGGAGGAGGAGGAGGAGGAGAGAGGAGGAAGGAGGAGGAGGAGAGGAGGAGGAGGAAGGAGGAGGAAGGAGGAGGAGGAGGAGGAAGGAGGAAGGAGGAAGGATGAAGGATGAGGATGAGGAGGAAGAGGAGGAGTAGGAGGAGGAAGAAGGTAGGAGGAGGACGAGGACGAGGAGTAGGAGGAGGAGGACGAGGAGGAGGAGGAGGACGAGGAGGAGGAGGAGAGCGTATTTGTATTCCAGGGCGATAGCGAGCGTTGAGCGAGCGTTGCGGGGGGGGAGGAGGGCGGGGGCCAGCAACGTCACGTTTCGCGCCGGTGCCGTCTGGGAATTTTTAGGAACATCTAGAAACAGCTCGGGCGTCAGCACGAATTGTGACGCTAGCTGGGGGAGGGCGTGGGGGGGTTAACCTACGAACAAAAAGGCGTACAATGTTTCTACAGATCTGCTGAAAGTCACTGGTAATTGTTGTATGTTGTAGACTCGACGAACAGATCAATTCTTGGGTAAATCAATTCTGTAGTCGATCTCCTACTCGAGGCATGTGTACGGTGCCCTCTCATCACAGGCGCGAGCGAGCGAGCGAGCGAGGAGGAGCTGGGGAGGGCTGTCTCGCGGGCCGCCTGGGCCTGGAGGGCGGCTCGGAGTTGCGGTGTCTTGGGGGTCTCTTGGTTCGTCTTGAGCGCTCGTGAGATCGATGTGATGGGTGTGCGGAAGTACTCCAACAGTTTACAGTGGAGGCGCGCATCAAAAAGCCAAGTGTTTTTCGCCAGGTTACCCTGGGTTTCTTCGATCCGCATGCTGCGCGGTGACTTCCCGTGGCCGTTAAGAAGCTGCTGCGTTCAGGCTGCTCCGGGTTCCCCCTCAGGTGTACCTCGCGCGCGGGTTTTCAGGTGCGGTTTCTTGCGATGGTTTCTTGCGACCGCGCCCGCACTGTATGGTGATTCGAGTGGCCTTCGGCCCATCCCGCCACAGAGCCTGGGTTGTGGGGTCCCTTGGCTCCGACCGAGTAAAGCACCAAGCCGTAAGAAGCCCCGACAAATTTGGCAATTCTAGACGCTTCGCGTATCCCCACCAGCTTTTCTTGCTCTCCGACTCGTTCTGGACAGCACTGAGACACTGTGATGTGCACACGCCGCGTTTCGATTGTGTAGCGTGCACTAAGGCGCCCTTCCACCCGCTGGGTCTGGGCTGAAGCATCTCGGTGTGGAAGCTCCTTGGCAACATGCTCCACACTTTGGATGCCGTTCTGGCGTCGCGGCTCGTTGCCGCCGTCGGGATCCCGCTGGACTTACGTCTCCAGTCGGTCTGTGCTACCCGTCAGGCTTTGGATCTACGTCCTCGGGAACGTTCCTCTCGTTCGCACCTGGACTTTGGGAACGCCTCTCGCGCCATTTTGGCTGCGCTTGGTCTCCTCGGTGCCTACCTCAGGCCCGGACGCACCGCTGCATGCCCGTTCAGGGGCTGTCTCTGGCTCCTGGATTGCATCGGCTCCGCCGCCCTGGACGCTGTCGTGAGCCGCCTGATCCGCGGCCCCGCGCGCGTTAGGTAATTTAGTCGCGGCCGCGGCCCGCCCGCGACCTCCCGCCGCTGGCGCTTCTGCCTGCGGCTGTAAAAAAAAAGTATCCCCACCAGCCCGTCCAGAAACGACGCCCAGGCGAGTAGAGGGTCGTCCTGAGGGGCTTTTCGGCGTCTTGGGTGCCTCGGGGGGGCCTCTGTGGGCCGTTCGGGATCCTCTTTGGGGCCTCCTGGGGGCCTCTTGGGGCCTCTTGGGGCCATCTTGGGGCCTTTGGGGGCCTCCTGGGCGCTTATTGGGGCCTCCTGGGCGCTTCTTGGGTGCCTCTGGGGGGTCTCTTGGGGCCTCTTGGGGGTCTCTTGGGGGCCTCCTGGGGGCCTCTTGGGGGGCCTCGGAGCCATCTTGGAGGAGATCGATCAACGAAGGGGGGTTCCCTAATTCCAGTCCCCCCCCCTCAGGAGCCACGATCCTCGTGAGGGGTGTCGAATTTTAGCCCTCCCAGGGGTCGTTCCTGGACGCTCTAACTACCCGCGGCCCCCCCTGTCCAGGTCAGTGGGGAGGGGGTAGGGGGAGGGGTAAACCCCTCCCCGAAGGGGAAAAAGGAGGGGTGGAAGAGGAAACTCGTTAAACCACCGACGCCCAGAGGGCTGGTGGCATTTGGGCTCTGGGCCTGTGAAATGCTCCTCAGGACTGGTATTGAGGCCTCAAGGATTCGGCAAAGTCCCTCAGGACACGTCCACTCCGTGTAAATGATCTCCCTTCCATTCTTGTTTTTTACTGTACCACTGCCCCTTTTGGCTCGCAATGTGTTATCAGGTAACAGGTACTTCATTGACTGGAGGACTCGTGAACACCTGCATCATCGTCCTTCGTTCATCGTTACCGCCTACACCGACGGATGTTCGGCTCAGAATCGTTCTATTGAAGTCGGCTCCATTAAGCATAGAGAGGTGCTAAAAAGGGCTCAGGAGGCAAGTGCGGCGAGACACCAGTCTCAATGCCAATGTAGAGGAGCTGCATGGCCATGCGCAATATTTCCAAGGGGGCGGCCCCGTCGGCAAACCAGTGCCCAACTGGAATGGACATGGCCCGAGTTTGCCACCATGTACGACGACTGGGGTTCCCGCCTGTCATGGATTCGGCTGCCAGCTGGGCTTTCCATCCACATGCTTCGGGCGGCACGCCGGAAAGCATTCAACCGTTGCATCCCAAGCACCAGGCACGACCTTGGCGCTGTCGCCGCTGTCGTGCAGGGCCTGGGTCATTTTGCCCACGCGTGGCTCTTCATAACCAAATGGAAAGCCAACTATACCGCCTGGCAATCTGGCCTCTGTAACTGCCTCTGCGGGGCGACGGCACCCAGCAAGGGAAAGGTAAGTTTGGCATTTCGGCCGACCCATCTCCCACGTGCACATGGTGCGACCACGAAGAGGAACACAGAAGAGCAGGCAACGTGGATGTGACCATGTTGGGGGATCGAGAAGGCCGCCTCCAGAACCATGGCCACTGGCAATATCTCCCACCCCACACACCAGACATTGTGGCCTTCTGTAAAACGACCTCGGCCTCATCGCCCGACAACTCAGAAAAGGATCCCTTTTAAGACTACACCGACGACCTGGGATTCCGACTGGTCTATGCTGCTACGAATAGCGCCGGCTCTCACCAAGCCCACCCCGCATGGCCAGCGCGGTTGTCGGCGCGCACTAAGGGCCAAACCAAAAGCTCAGTCAATCTGGCCGTGTGCACGGCTTGGCGCGGTCAGCGCAGCGGGCCGAAATGCTTGACATGTGAACCACTGGTGCGTGATTTCGTTGACGACCACGCGGTCGCTTACGGATTCAAAGGCCTTCTCAGGGGCAAACCACCGCAGCGCAGGGGGTCCAAGTGGACCTCTGGCAGAATCCACCAGGCGCTCCCTGCGAAACCTGATTTGTCTCAGGAACAGGAGGTGGAAAGTCACCTTGGGGAGCAAGGCGTCAATGAAGGGCGCATCACTCTTGCCGCTGAAGCCGTCAACCGACGCGCGGGCGACCGCGCTGCCGCGGCGCGGCTCCGCAGCGTCCTGCAAGGCCAGGTCGACGCAGCCAAAGGGCGACACACGTTTGCTTCTGCCCTCCATCACGCGGCCGTCGCTGGATGCGACCGGCGACGCCGGACGCTCGCCTTGCCTCGCAGAAGATCCGGGCCTTCCAGGTCCGAACTCGCAAACATGACACAGGACCCGCTCGCCATCGGGCAGGGGGGGGCAGGACACAGGTTCTCAGGGAGGACCAGCGCCTCCAAGTGGTCCACCAGGCCCGCGCCACTTCGACGAACTCGACGGCGTCTGGTCGCCACCGCCGGGCGACCACGAAGGGGGGGACCTCGACCCTCTCGGGCTCGGGGCCTCGCTAGATGATATCGGAGATGACGGCTTCCTTCTTCAGAGTCATTGTCGTGGCGAAGGCAGAGCAGTCGAGAACCTTGCCGACACGCGAAACCATGCTCCCTTTTTTTTTTGGTTCTCTCTCTCTCTCTCTATCTCTCTCGGCCAGGCGACGACCGCTCAGGAGCGTCAGAACCCAGCGTTTACCCCGAATCCCCACCACAACCCGCCTCCCCATTCGGCCCACGACGGTTCCGACGGGATTGGGCATGGGGCTAGGGATGACGGCCACCACGCCAGCGGTACCAGCCAACGTATGGACCGTAGGCAAGCCCTCGCGCATCATGTCACAGCGTCGAACAATCAGCACCATGGCGACCGCCAAACCAGTCTCGTGGCCAGCACTGTTGCGCCCCATCAGCGAGCCAACCAGCTGGCGTCTTCTGTTCATCAGATTCAGGGACAGTCGGCCCCGCTGCTCGACAGGTTCCGATGAGCAAGAGGCCTGGAGCGTCCTGCAACTGGCCTTTCTGCCCGCAGTGGCCCTGTAGGCGGCCCCCCTTGGTAACCCCAAGCCTTTTTCGACGCTCAGAGTGCGGCACACTAAGCCTCCCCCCAAGACTCACCGTGTGGTACCCCCCCCATCATCTAAGCCTCGTGAACACTTGGCACCTGCTCCGGCGCCTGTTTCCTTTGGGCCGCAGCGGGGGATGCCCCAAGGCGGTGCCGTCCACTTTGTCGCTAGCTCCAAATTGCGCATCCCAGCGCGTGCCTACGGGCGGCGCTGTTGCCACAGGTGCGCAGACGTGCCCTTGAGCGGCCTGGACACCGCGTACCCGCACTGCCTGCCAGCCTGGGCCCAGGCCGCGCCATGTGGGGGTCATGTGACCACCTCTCTTTCGTAGGCGGCACCTCCCGCCTTGCGAGGTGGGCTTGCAAGGCTCTTGTAGCCTCGGGGCTCGGACGTACCCTCGTCCGCGTTGGTACGCATTTCTGTCTATCAATCGCTCTCTCCCTCCTTCTCCTTCTTTCTCGCTTTCTCTCTCTCTCTCTCTCAGTGTCTCTCTCTCTCCTTTTCCTTTCTCTATCTCTCTCTTTCTTCCCATTCTGCAGTTGGCTGGCATATCTGGAAATACACACCCATGTAGGCTCGTACATGCTTATCATCCGTACCATTTTGATGTGGGCCCGTAGTTGTGTGCCTTTCTCACAATGTGTTAGTTTTATCTCTGTTTAAATGTACATCATGTGTTCGCTCCTCCTATCATTCTCCCTCTCTCTCTTTCTGTCGCTCGCTCGTTCCCTCTCGCCCCCCGCCTCTTTCAGTCGCCATAGGACGCCGGATCGTTCTGGCCTTGCATCGGTTTTCCAGCCCCTTCTCCGTTTGCTGGGCCCACATGGGGTCGGCGCTCGCCTGGCAGCAAGGGCTTTGACCCTTCACTCGTGGACAAGCGATCCGATCCGATCCTCCTTCTGTATCCAAGGGTGGGCTGACGCCCGTACGTTGGTTCGTGGGCGTTTTTTTGAATCTAGCCCGCAGGCGAGCTCTTCTGCGTCGTCTGAATCAAGGTATTCATGCTGCAATGGGGACCGTCCTTCTTTTGGCGACGTGCACCCTTCCCCCTCCTCCCCTCCTCCTCTTTCTCCTCCTCCTCCCCCTCCTCCTCCTTCTCCTACTCATCCCCCTCTTCGCCCTATCAATCCCCTAGAGGAAACCGTGGTGGTCGTCGTCGTCCTCGTCCTTCCTCGGCCTCCTCCTACTCTCCTTCTATTATCTTTCTCCTCCTCCTCCTCCTCCTCCTCCTACTCCCCCTCCTACTCCTCGCCGTACTCCAATGCCTCCACCTCTCTTTCTCCCCTCCTCCCCCCACCTTTCCTCCTCCTCCACCGCCACCGCCTCCCCCACCCTTCTTCCCTTACAAGGAACTCCACCCAGACGCAGCCCGAGACGTGTTGGCCGGGCAGGCCGGGCGTTTCGCCTGAGACTTCCTTCCCCACTTATGCTCCTCAAGCTGAAAATGTGCAAACGTTTCACGGATGGAGGGCGTGCCGCTTTCAAAATGTGACTATTGCGTTGATCGCCGCGCGCATTCGTCTCAAAGTTGGAAAGAGCTTCGCGGATGGAGGGCGGGTCGTTTTCAGAATGCAGCTCTCGCCTGAGCGCCGCGCACATTCGTCTTGAACTGTTGCAAGTGTTTCACGGATGGAGGGTAGGTAGTTTCCGAAATGTGGCTCTCGCCTTGGCGACGCGCACATTCGTTTTCACAACATGCCAGAGTTTCACGGATGGAGGGCGGTTCCTTCAAATGTGGTATCCCATTTAGCGCCACGCACATGCGTCTCAAGAGATTACAGCAATTCCAAGGATTCTTATGGTTGCTTCCCCACGAATGATGTTTCGGCACGAAGTAGGACTGCCAGGGCGCAACAGTCACGTTCACTCGCGGTGTTTAAGTCCCAGGACTAGTGTTCTCGCACGACTCAGGATCGTCAGGACGCAACAGTCATGTTGATTCGCGGCGTTGAAGCCACAGGAATGGTGTTTTGACACCGTGAAAGCCACGTTGAAGCACGTTGACTCGCACGTTGGCTCGCACGTTGAAGCCACAGGATTTTCAGATGGTTGTCATCCTCCCAATGAAAATATATTTGTGCAGGGTCTGCGAAGAGGGAACTTCGAGGGAGGGTTTATGGCAATCTTCTTGGTGGGTCTTAGGTTTTCGCCGGTCCTCCTCCTCCTCCTCCTGCCCCCAGCCGCTCCCGCCCCAACGACGAGGTGCAGGCGCGCAGAGAGGGCGGGCACGTAGGCGATCCGATCCGGACTGGCTCTGCCGCGCCCCACAGGAGGGGGTGGCCGATCGCGTCGGGCCCCCCTCCCCGTCGGGGGGGCCCACATCGCGCGCGCGCGGTGGGCAGGCGGACGCCGCGGATCTCGGCATGGTCGCGCAGGAGGAGAGCTGGCCTGGGCGGATGATGGCGGTGGCGGTGGTGATGGTGATGGTGAGGGGCGATGAATGGTGTGGGCGGTGGTGATGGTGAGTGTGATGAGGGTAGTGTTGGTGACAACGGTGATCTGGATGATGTTGGTGACGGTGGTCAGTTGGAGGATGATGGTGATTATGATGAGGGTGATTCCGGTGATGGTGATGGTGGTGGTTGTGGTGATGGTGGAAGGGGTGGCGACGGTGATGGTGATGGTGATGGTGATGGTGATGATGCTGACTGTGATGATGCTGAAGCTGATGATGATGCTGATGCTGATTATGATGCTGATGCTGATCATGGTGGTGGTGATGATGGTGATGACGATACTGATGGTGATGATGCTGATGATGATGTCGATGATGATGATGATGATGATGATGATGATGATGATGATGATGATGATGATGATGATGGCCACGACGAGGATGCTGATGATAATGTTGATGATGATGCAGCTGCCAATGAATATGAGACTGATACTGATGAAGATGGTCATGATGATGCTGCTGATGATGAAGATAATGATCATGCTGGTAATCATGATGGTGATGGTAGTAGTGACGGCGACGATGACGATTGTGGTTTTGGGTTTAGGTGCCGATGAAGAACAGTGATGCGCGATTTAGACAAATCGAAGACGCCTCCGGCGAAACACCGCCGTCGCATGCCTTTTGGAAGCGTCTATGCGGCCAAACGGAAGCCCTGGGAAGCCCGTGAATAGGGAATACACGGCAACTTTTGGGAAGTTCGTAGAGTGGTTTGCCAAAGGGTTCTTCTCGGTTGGATCTTTCATTGACTACGACAGCTCGCCCCGTTCAAGAGCACTTGCATCATTATATATTGGGGATTGAGGATGGCAAGGGACTCGAGGGCCCTGCAGTCAGTGCATCTCGGGGGTGGACAGACCTCCTACCCTGACACGTCGATTAGTGAATCGTCCGTTTTCGGTTCTCGAGAGGGCGCCGCGGCCGTCATTTTCCAGGCTTGCGCGCGCCAGGTTTGGGCCCGAGGTCGTTTTCACTAAACCACGTTTTACTAAAGGGAGTTCTGTCCGTCCCCGAGCATCGCGGCAATCGGCGGGTACTGTACATGTTCGTACATAGACATACATATCCAGCTGTCTGCGGCAAGTCCCGCGATCGTACCAGTCGATCAGTCTCGGTGGCAGCTGATCGAATCGACGATGATGATGATGCTGACGATGACGATGAGATGATCTCCTCCTCCTCATCCTGCCCTTCTCCTGTTTTCCCTCCTCCTTCCCCCCCCATCTTCCTCCTCCTCCTCGTTCCCCCTCCTCCTCCTTCCCCTCCTCCTCCTCCTCCTCCTCCTCCTCCTCCTCCTCTCCTTCCTCCTCCTCCTCCTCCTCCTCCTCCTCCTCCTCCTCCTCCTCCTCCTCCTCCTCCTCCTCCTCCTCCTCCCTCCTCCTCCTCCTCTCCTCCTCCTCCTCCTCCTTCCCCTCCTCCTCCTCCTCCTCCTCCTCCTCCTCCTCCTCCTCTCCTCCTCGTCCTCCTTCCCCCTCCTCTCCTGCCTCCCCGCTGCCCGCCCGCCCCCCCCCCCCCTGCCGCTGCCGCGCGAGGACGATCCCAGCGCGGCGCGCGTCGCCTGGGCGTCGGTGCCCGCCCGCATCCCTCGCAGCGGGGGAGGGGGAGGTACAGAGGGGGAGGAGGTCGAAGGAGGAGGAGGAGGAGGAGGGGGAGGAGGGAGGAGGAGGAGGAGGAGGAGGAGGAGGAGGAGGAGGAGGAGGAGGAGGAGGAGGAGGAGGACGAGGAGGAGGAGGAGGAGGAGCAGGAGGGGGGGCGGAGGGGCCCGCCCTGCCGTCCTCCGGGGGCGTCCGGCAGGCGGGGCAGAGAGCCCACACACCTGCCGCCCTGTCCCAAGTGGCTGCGCTGGGGGGGGGGGGCGCTTCTTCTTCCTTCTTCTTCTTCTTCTTATTATTATTCCTTTTTCTTCTTCCTCCTTAGTTTCCTTATTCTTCCATTATCTTACGTATTATTTGGTATTTTTCTTCTTCTTCTTCTCCACCACCATCTGTGTCATCATCATATCATCATCAGCATCATCAGCAGCATCATCATCATCACCACCATCATCGTCATCATCATCACCATCACCATCACCATCATCATCATCATCATCATCATCATCATCATCATCATCATCATCATCATCATCATCATCATCATCATCATCATCATCATCATCATCATCATCATCATCATCATCATCATCATCATCATCATCATCATCATCATCATCATCATCATCATCATCGTCATCATCATCATCATCATCATCATCATCATCATCATCGTCATCATCATCATCATCATCACGTCGCCGTCGTCGTCGTTGTTGTCGTCGACGTCGTCTGCGTCGTCGTCGTCGTCGGTGGTCGTCGTCGTCCTTCTCCTCCTCCTTCCCCTTCTTCTTCTTTGTGCCAGGATTTCGCATGGGTCGCGCGCGAGATCAGCCTAGAATCCCAGCTTCCTAAAGTCCCTCCTTCCCCTCCCTCCTGCTCCTGCTCCTGCTCCTATCGTTGTTGATTGCCGCGGAGGGCTGCCGCCGTTCGGACCCGTAGAGCCCCTTGCCGCTGCGGCTCCGTGCATGGTGCCCCGGTGACCCCCCGGCGACTCCCTGGGACCTCCTGGGGCCGCCTGGGGATTCCTGTGGCCTCCTGGTGGTCCTGGGGCTTCGTCGGGCCTGCTGGGGCCTCCTCTCGGCGACTACAAAGGGTGCGGTTACGCCAGGGTGTGGTTTGCGATCGGCGCCGCGGAGGCCTGGAGGGCACGACACTGTCCTCGTCGGGCCTCCTCGGGGCGCGGCGGAGAACTCTATCGAGGTACCCGCCCGCCCCCCATGGTGACCCCCGGGGGCCGATTGCAAACCACACCCTTTGCAAACCACACCCTTTGGATTCGCCGATCCTCGGAGCTTCCCGGGGGGCTCTTGGGAAGGTCCGAGGTACTCCGGGGGCCACTGCGAGATCGCAGGGCGACGGTCGGGATCGCAGGAGACGTAGGACGTGGCGGGGGATCGCGCGAGAAGGTTGAGAAGGAACAGGAGTGATCGGACAAGGAATATGTTTCAACCGCCGCCCCACCTGCAGGAGGCGATTGAAAAGGCTGCGTTCCTCTCCTCCCTCGTCCTAGTCCCCTCTTTTTCTTGTCCTCCTCGTACTCTGCCCTCTTTCATATTCACTCCCGCTGAGCCTTTCAGTCATAACTCCCATCCTTGCAACCAGATTGTCATGTGGGGTCCTGCCGTTGGAGTAACTTTGTGGGATCATGGATCTGTGGGTGCGGACCCCTCTTTGTCTTGTGCCAGGGACCACGTCGGGGACACCGATCTGCGATGATGGTGGGATTCCGGATCAGTATGTTCGGCCTCGGGTGAGCGGCGCAATTATTCTGTGCGGCGCGTCGCGGATTCGGGAGCACAGATTCGTCGGTTTCCACGAAGGTTTTTGGCTTCGGGGCTGGTGGTATCACCAGGCATCATTGCCTCGGGAGCGTGGTCTTCTCGACGGGATGACTAGCAGCTGTGTTGTACAAAGGCGTCGTGGTGTACACTAGGCAAGCACCGTGGTGTGCACAAACACGGTCGGCCCAAGATGGAGCGGGACTAACCCCGGCCAGAACAAAAACAATAATCACACATAACTTCAGATATAGAGTTGAATGCGTTCGGGCCCCCGGGGATTTTCCAGGTTTGGGCCCTGGCGGGACCTCGGAGGTGCGCGGAAGCGCTGCGGCGCAAATGTTAGCCACACGCTGTGGTGCACGTTGTTCCGGTGGTGTGCAGGCATCGGGGTGTACACAGTCGCTGCGGTGCACGCAGAAGCCTCAGCAGTACCTCTGGTGTGCAAGACTGTTGTGGCGCACGAGTGCTTTGTAGTGCTCACAGGCAGTGTGGTGCACGCGTGTCCTATAGATAGTGTACACCAGACTTCGCGGCCACGTTTAACATTCATATCCCGCGTCTTCCAATGCGAGCTGTCCAAACATCCCTAGGTATCCTCAGACGGCGTCCGCATCGTCGCAGCACCAATAATATCATCGCGGCAGCATCGATAGCAGCTGTAGGGGCCGCAGCACCTGTGCGCGTGGGCATATGCAGGGCTGCCCACAGCGCGAAGGTTAGGTTATCGGCTGGCCCCCTCCCCCCTTTTTTCCTGGATAATCCGCGTTATCGCCGATTCCAAAAAACGGTTACAACATTGAGCAACAAGTTCGGGGCACTTTGGGCCAGGGGCTCCTTCAGCGCCCCCCGATCTTCGTCTTTCTTTCCTTCCTCTTCCCCGTTTCCCTCCCATGTCCCTCCCTCGCAGTGCCAACAAGCGGCTAAGCAATGCCCGCGGTGGGTCGCAGCGCCCCACTTCGTGGAAAATTGAACGGTCAAGAGGACATCCCCGCTTCGTCGTCATCCTCGTCACCGTGGAGGCCGCCGGGCCGCAGCCGGCGACCTCGGCGAGGCACGTGGATCGCTTCGCTCGTTCCGCCGGCCCGCACTGTGCCATCGTTGGCGTCTGCGTGCGCGCTCGTGGGCCAGATGGGTGGGAGTCCTCATTGGATGCCCGGATGCTTCCCGGTGTCTCTTCGAAGGGTTCCCGGTTCGTCGTCATCGCCGTCGCCGTCGAGGCCGCCGGGCCGCCGCCAGCGACCCAGACGAGGCACATTTTTGTTCGAATCGTTCCCGTCTGATCGTTCATTTTCCTCGTCTGGTCGCATTCTCTTTTTTAGTTTCAAGGGTGAAGGGGGCTGCGCAGCCACGCGCAGAGAGGAGGGTACGGGGGAGGGGGGAAGGCTTATTTGAAGCATCCTGCTTCTGAGAAGGTGCGGGCCTTGTCTGCAAATGTAAGGTCTGGCTTCTTCTAAGAAGCAACCTACTTCTAAGAAGCCTGCCCCCCTGCCCTCACCCCCCTGTGCGCGCCACCAAACTTCATTGAGGCCCCATCGGCCGTTGGGGATCTCTTGAAGCGCTACGGAAGCCTTTGGGAGCCTGGAATGTCGCGCGCACCATGGTTCTGTCGATCTCTCCCGGAGCGGCTCGATGGAGCCACATTCGGGCCGTCTTGTCGGGGCTCGATGCCGGCTTGTAGTGCTCGTTGTGCGCGGGCCGTTTTGGTGGGCTGATGGCTTCTGGAGGTCCAGCTGAGGGCCCGTCGGGGTCCGTGTGGCAAGACATGCGTGAGGGGTGCGTCGAAATGAGGAAATGACTCCTGGGATCCAAGGGGCAAGAAGTGCGTGAGGGGTGTGCTAAGAGGAGGCTACTAGGAGCTATTTGGGGGGTCAGCTCAGAACCTGTGGAATTTGGGGCCTGAATTGGGTGAGGGGTTTGCCGAATTGGGTTTCTCGGGAGAATCCAGGAGCCCTGGAAGCTCGGATACTTGTTTCCCCAACCATCCTGTCGTGTTGGGTTTTCGTTTTGAAGAGACGGCGCGCCGCGTCCCTCCTGTCCTCCTCCTCCGCCCCCTGTCGCTCCTCCTCCTTGCCCTCCTCCTCCCATCCCTTGCCTCTGCCCTCACCATTTCTCTGTTACGGGACACGCCTGACACGTTTCGTGGCCCCATAGCGAGTTCCACCGAAGGCCCCAGTGGGAGGGTCCACATGCCTCCGCCCGACCCATGTCGGCACACCCCGCACTCGTTTCGTGGCCCCATAGGGAGTTCCACCGAAGGCCCCAGAGAGAAGGCCCACACGCGTCTGCCCGACACATTTCGGCACACTTCTTGCACGTTTTGTGGCCTCATAGGGAGGTCCGCCGAAGGCCTTAGTGGGAGGGTCCACATGCTTCCGCCCGGCGAATGCCGGCACACCCCTCACACGTTTCGTGGCCCCATATGGAGTACCACCGAAGGCCCCAGTGGGAGGGTCCACATGCGTCCGCCCCACCCATGTCAGCACACCCCTCACTCGTTTCGTGGCCCCATAGGGAGCTCCACCATTGGCACCAGTGGGAGGGTCCGCATGCGTCCGCCTGACCCATTTCGGCACACCATCACACGTTCGTGGTTCCATCGTGACCTGCAACGAAACGCCTCTCTCAGCTGCGGTACTCACGAGTCTTGGATAATTAGGAATTTTTATGTTGAATTTGGCCAGGGAGCAGGGTTAAGCGACCAGGTGTCTTGCAGCTTTCTGTGTCATGCCCCCCTTCAGCAAGGTGCTGTCAGACAGCGCAGAGCTCCTGGACGTGGTGCCGACGCTTTGCTTTTAGCAACAGGGATGCAGCCTTGGTCTCTCAGCTCCAACGCTTATATACATGGTGCGCTTTCAGCTCGTTGCATGCACGCAGTGGGGCAGATCTGAGCGCGAGAATGCGCTATGCTTGGGAGTGCATGTCTCACGTGTCTGTGCGCGATCGCGCAAACCGTGTGTTCGCCAGAGTGCGCATCTGCGCGCATCCGTTGCATGCGAGCAAGCGGGTGACAAAAAAGTTGAAGCAATGAGATGGATCGAGAGGCTCGGCGGCGGAATCCGAACCCTGCCCTCGCCGATCCACGACTCGGGCAGCTCGATAGGCCGCGGCGGCTGGGCTCGGAATTCGGCTATGGGTCTGCCCGCCCGATCTGCCCGTCTGGTTCTACTACGTGTTTTCTGCTTCTAGCTCCCGTCCTGCTAATTTCTCTCGTGCTTCATCCTTTCCCCTCCCCCTTCCATCCGTCCTCTCTTCCCTTGTTTTAGGGTCTTTTCAAGATGCACGTGGCAGGTAAGGAAGCTATGCTGGGTACGATCAAAGACGACGAGGGCGGGTACCGAGTGTTTGAGAAATATGTGTTGTTGTTGCTGTTGCTGCTGCTTTTGCTGTTATCCCCCACCCGACAGGTAGGGGTAGTTAGACTTCAAGAACAGGCCCCCCGGCCAACCCCAACCTGCATACCGAGGCCGCCAGACCCCAAGTTGTCCCGATGGTCCCGGGTGTCCCGCCTCGCAACCGGTCAACCCCACCCTGCATACCGCGGCTGCCAGACCCCAAGTTGTCCCGATGATCCCCGAGAGTCCTTGGTGTCCGGCCTCGCGCCCTCAACGATCACGACAGAGCACACCATGACAGAACAGACTACGACAGACTGGAACAGAGCATGACATAGCATAGCAGAAGATAGCATATCAATATCATGACAACGTAGAGAGTAGCATAACATCACATACCATAGTATAACATAAGATGACATAACATACGACGACACAACACGACATAGCATAACATGACCGAGCATAACATGACACAGCTTGCCATAACATGTCATATCAGGACAGCATCACAGACCATGCCATGATACGACAGCCGAGCATAGCGACGACGACTACGACAGAACACAACATGACACAACATGACAAGACATAACAGAACACGAGCATGTCAGAACTTAACAGAGCATACGATATCAATGTCATGACAACCACGATGATACCATACCATCACATCATAGCAGACCATGACATATGCGAGAACATAACCGAGCATACCATAACACACCTTTACATAACATGTCATAGCATGGCAGCATCGGAGAACATAACCCGACAGCAGGGCATAGCGACGACGAACACGACAGAACACAACATGCCACAACATAACATGACATAATAAGACCACGCGCATGACAGAACATGACAGACCACACCATGCGATTACATGACACACTAGAGCACAATATTACATCGCATACCATACCCGATTATAACATGAGATACCATACGACGACATAACACAACATAAGATAGCAGATCCGGGCATGTCATTGCATTCTTTGACATAACATATCATACCATGACGCAGCATCACATAAGATGTCATATCGCGACAGCAGAGCTTAGCGACGACGAACTCGACAGAGCACACCATGACACAACAGATCATGACATACCATAACACGAGCATGACACACTGCGACAGACCAGAACACGAGCAAGGCCATGATACAATAGAGCATACCATAATAACACATAACATACCAGAGCAGAACATGACAACGCAGACGCCAGCATACGACAGCATCACATAGCATAGCCGATCATACCATAACACACCTTGCCATACTATATCATATCACACGATGACAGCATCACATAACGTGCCATAACATGGCAGCAACGCATAGCGAAACATACTAGCAGACCATAGCATACTATACTATACTGAGCCGAGCTGTCAGCACCATCACACAATATAGCATACCAGAAGATACTCTGATGTGTCGTAACATAATGTGTCACACCAGATCACAGCATACCATCTCACATCATAGCGTTACAGAGATGAGCATAACACAACATACCCAATCAGAAGAGACACATGCATGTTCAGAGGAGCATCGTAACAGACGGCGCATCTAACGTCACAGGCGTCTCGACGTCACGCCGGCCCGTCGAGATCGGAAGACAGTTCGCCGCTTGGGCCCCACCGCCAGCCCAAAGGGCGAGCACACATCGGGCGTAGCCCCGCACACATTCGGATACCCACGCTTCGTCCTCGTACTCGGCGCGAGCCCCCCGCACGGGGAGTGCGTTGACCGCGTCCTGGCTGGTCGCAACAGGGGCACACACAGGTTGAGCCGAGAACATAACCGTCTCCTATCGGTTGCGCAATAGGTTGCGCCCTCAGCCGCCGAGAATAACACCGTCTCCTATTGGTTGCACCGTAGGGTGCGCCCTCGGCCGCCGAGACCAAAACTGTCTCCTTTTTGTTGCGCCGTAGGTTGCGCCCTCGGCCGCCAATCATAACAACGTCTCCTATCGGTTGCGCCATAGGTTGCGCCCTCGGCGGCCGAGAATAGAAACCGTCTCCTATCTGTTGCGCCATAGGTTGCGCCCTCGGCGGCCGATAATAAAAACGTTTCCTATCGGTTGTGCCAAAGGTTGCGCCCTCGGTTGTCGAGAATCAAGCGCTCTCCTATTGGTTGCGCCATAGGCTGTGCCTTAAAGCGTTTCCTATTGGTTGCGCCATAGGTTGTTCCCGCTGTGGCCGCTGATAAAACCGTCTCCTATCGGATGCGCCTGCGCCATCGGTGGCGCCCTCGGCTGCCGAGAACAAGTTGCACGCGTGCCATGGCTGTTGCACAGAAGGGAGGGGGAAGGAGGAGAAGGTGAAGGAAGAGGACGCGAGAGGGATATAGTGTGCGAGAAATCGGAGAAGGAGAGCCCAACGAGGGCCGCAAGATGGGCTTGACAGGGCGAGCTCGAGTAGGCTCCACGGCCCCCCCCCCGCGAGATGGCCTCCAAGACTTTCAAAATGCTCCCAGGAGGCCTCCAACAAACACTCAAAACGTCTGCAGAGGATCCGAAGAACCCCCCAGGGGCCCGAAACGGAGGCGGAGGGGGCACGCGGCGGGCGGGGGTTCCACTGGGTCGCTGGGGAACGCTGGGGAATGGGGGGATGGGGGGCGGGGACGGGGCGCGCCGTGCGACGCGGAATAAAATGGCCGGGGCGGAGGACAGCACTGGGCGGAAGTTCCACTGGGCCGCTGGGGAACGCTGAAGAGAGAAGGGATGGGGAGCGGGGAGGAGGGGCGCGGTGTGACGCGGAATACACTGATCGGTGCGGGGGAGGCATTGGGCGGTGGTTCCACCGGGCCGCTGGGGAACGCTGGGGCGGGGGGGAGGGCGGCGGGGGAAGGGGGGGGGGCGGCGGGGCGGGGCGCGAAGTGACGTGGAATAACACGGTTGGGGTGGAGGGGTGGGGGCATTGGGCGGAGGTTCCACTGGGCCGCTGGACGCTGGGGTGGGGGGCGTGGGAAGGGAGGGGCGGGGAATGAGGGGAAAGGGGCGGCGGAACGCTGAGAAGGGGTGGGACAGCGGGAGGGGGGCGGCGGGGAGGGGGAGTGCGCTACCGACACGCCTCGGGGCAAGGAAGGAATTCTGTATCGGGGATAGGATGAAGGAACAGCAGGAGGAGGCGGAGACGGAGGAGACGGATGAGAGGACGAAGGGGAGCAGGAAGGAGGATGGGGTAAATTGGGGAGGGAGGAGGGAGAGGACGAGAGGAGAGGAGATCTCCCCGACGGAAGGTCGACGTGGATGCCGTCTTCCGCGAGGAACAGGGCGGGGAGGAGGTGGTGATCACCAGCATCGAGGCTCCGACGACCCTCCGGGGCTACCCAGCAGTGCGGGGCTCCCCCCCCTCCTGATGCTAAGACTGCGAACGGTATCCATCGGTGCTGATGCGACGCCTTCGTTGATCCTCCTCCCAGCCTTCGCCGGGAGGAGGACATCTTTGCACCGATGTCGTTCAGGCGCACGCTAAGCTGGATTGCGTGTCCCTCTCCATCCTCCTCCGCGGCGTTAGCGAG